AACTAATTAGATTGATTAGAGTATAAATTTTTATTAATATCTAATCTCGTTTTTGAAAAGTGTTTAAATATATTTCCTTATTTTTTGGAAAATTTTGGAAAGTGAATAACAAAAATACAAAATTGAATCTTGAGAATATTTATAAGATTATTTATATATTTGTATCTACGTATATTTTAAATTTATTGTTTAGATTTGAAAAAAAGATTTTATTAATAACTGACTAATAAACATAGATTATGAATTTAATTTCTTATATAACAAATAATAGAAAAAAAAAGAATAAATGGAAATTTAGAACATCATCATTTTAAACTAAATAAATAGCTTAACCCGATGTGGTTTATAAATCATACATTGAAGGTATCACCAACAATATGTCGTAGTCTGTTGGTTTGATAGCTTTTCGTTTGCCTGTAGGTCACGAGTTCGAAACATCAATTTAACAAAAAAAAAAAAATTTTAATAGCGGGTAAATGACGAAATTACCCTCATCTTCTTCCTTCAGATTTTAGAACTCGATTTCTGCAAAACCAAAAATCTTGCCATTGATATTCATCAGTTTTTCTTGTTTTCTCTTTTTTTCTACACGAAATATGCTAGATTCAAAGAAGTACTTATTGATTTCTAAGTTAGCAACGGAAGAAATGAATTTTTTTTTTTTAGATTCTGATTTTAGTTCTACGTGAACATCTCTTTCATATTTATATTTATATGATTCGTTTAATTAAAGCACGCGAATCGTAATGACCAGATCTGTTTTTTTTTACTGATTGAAGAACCAATGACCCAAAAAAAAACCAATCGAGATGTTTTTCACAAATACAGATTATTTCACAATATTGAAGAGATTTGCTTGAACGCCATTAACAGAGCAGTTTCGTTGAAGTCGTCGTTGATTAGCCGTTTTCCATGAATGCCCATCACAAGAGAAGTCGCAAAGAAACAGAGTATCAACAGTAACAGGGACAACCATTTCTGCTTCATTTGGCACACCAAGTGTTCGATTAAATTCCTTTATAGAGGTTGAAACTCCAAGCTTTGAATTTCTGTGCTTGAATTGAATTTCTCAAAGGAGTAATAATCTTCTTTTACGGACATGAAGGAAAAGAAGATTATCTCTGAGAAAAACAAAGAACAAAAAAAAATCGATGACCCGTTTGAAGAAGCATTGACCCACAAATTCGATTACCCGTTTTTACAAATATTTGAGCCAATACCCACCCATATACTAAACACGCGGATCTTAAGTGTTTAATGAGATTTCTTGACCAATTTAACCTTTCCAATTTCATAAAACACACTACAAAATCTAAAATTGAAATTGAAATTGATGGCAAATTAGACCATTTTTCAATTTGTACTTCCCTTTTAATAATAAGGGGATTGAACAACCAAACAAAAAGGATACATTATTATGGAAAATATTTGTTTTTATCAAAAAAGGAAACAAGGTTGAAACTTGTCACATAAGCAAAGTTTCTAGTTCTCAAGCTGATAATAACGAAAGAAAATCGTTTTTTCAGTTTATTATCTGGTATGCTTTGGTTATTACTTATTATCATGACACTGGCTCGAACTCTTTGTGTGCATGAGGCTGGCAACAGATGCAATGAAGGATTTCGTGTATTCCAGAATTCTTAGCACGAGTAAGTCACATTGCCGTGCGTCTTTGGAGGCCGGAGGCGAAATATCTTTTTTAAAAAAAAGATTATGATAAAATGGCAAAGATTTGTTTATGAAAATATGGTATTATCATCGTATGAAAAGCATTTAGAGTATATTAATTACTTCATCCAAATTATAGTTCATCCAAAAAAAATTAGTTTATACAAACTACAAATATTTGTTTTATTTTATGAAATTGTAGTCAAGGAGTACTAAACTACTATATAATAAATAGCCCAAGCCTCTGTGGTCTAGTGGCAGAGGAAGCTTTGGTGAAGGGTGAAACTCCCAGACCCGAGTTCGATTCTCCCTGGAAACAAAAATCACATTTGTTTGGGAAGTCTGTCAGTTAGGCCGTGGCCCAATTGGTTTACCTGGTAGTCAGAAATACAGGCGGCCTGACTACCCCTGGCATTAGTCGGAAGGCATTCCAAACTCGGATCAGGCAGTGTGGTGGCCCAATTTTACCTGGATCGGAAGAAGTCCACTCTGTAGCACTTCGGTGCGTTCCTACCGAGATCGACCGGATCAGCCGATAGGATTTATAAAAAAAAAACTACTAAATAATAGTTTGATAACATCTTTAACATTATCCTATACTATTATTTGGGGAGTACACTTTATAAGATACCCTTAACTAACCTTTACCTTTGTAAGAATTTACTTAAGAATGTCATTAGAGATAAAATTTCAAAGAGTAAATTAATTCATCCCATTAAGGATAAACAAGTCAATTTATATAATTTAATTAATTTAATTTAATTATAAAAACGAAAAATATATTATTATTATTATTTTTAAATGACCAATCAAAATGAATATATAAGATTTGATATCTAACTTACCTTATTAATTTGTTATTAATAATTACATTTCACCTCTCATCTTTATATGATTATATTATTGTGAAACAAATAAATCATCATATCATCCATATAATAATAAAAAATAGATTTTTTTCCGCATATGCCATGATTTGAATTTTTAAAAACGAATATAAATTATTCAATTTATGAAAAAAAAATTTAACGAGTCAAAAATTTAGACTTGGATAATATATTTCTTTTAAACAAAAATAAATTCAACAAAAATTCCGCTGAATAACGGGTCAGAATTTGAGTAATTATATTCAATTTCATATATATTTTTAAAATATATAGTTTTATATACTACGATAAAAATTTTAAATATTTTAATTTGGAATATTTAAAAATAGTTTTACTTGATATTTAAAAACAATTATCATCAATACTTAATAAATAAAAAAATTAAAAATTATACATACACTAATTTGGTTTTCTTAAAACAAATATATTTTAAAAATATTTATAATAGATGGTGGGTTAAATATAACGTATTATATGATGGAATGAGTTATGATCCTTATAATTGAATATTTATATTTAAGTTCATACAATTATTTTAAAAAATTCTTAATTTTATATTCTACAATAAAAATAAAAAATATTTTATTTGGAAAAATTTAAAAATAGTTTTATGTAATATTTTAAAGAATATGATAAATATTTAATAAATCAAAAGATAAAAGTTATAAATACTCTAATTTTATTTTTCAAAGCATAAATAATTAAAATATTTATAGCAAGCAGCAGGTTAAATGTATTGTATTATATGATAAAAAGAGTTATGATTTTTATAACCGAAACCATGTTAAGATTATATGATAAGATGAGTTAAATAAGGTTTGACACCTCTAAATATTTAAAATTTTGATTCCATAAGTATATATGAAAATAATGAATGATGGATTGTGCACACAATTTTTTCATTGGGATTCTAAAATAAAAATATAGGTACGCACGAGTTGAATTTAATCTTATTATATACCAAAATATGTTTATTATATACGCAATTTTTTTTCACTTACTACTAGCATATATCAAATACATGCGTTTTATTATTAACCAAAAAAACGTAAAAAACCGTAAAAATCGAACTGTAACTAAACCGAATTACATACGATTTCTATATGGTTTCACTTTCTACAAAACGAAAAAAAACGATACTAAACCGAAAAACCGTACCCCACCCCTAATATTTTCTCATCAAACAAAATAAAATAAAATAAAAAAATCCATATATGTCATTGTATTATGTAAAAAAATTATTAAAATTGTACTATAAAACAAACAATAATCCAACTTTATATATATATATTTAAAAATTAAAATTTCATCCGTGCTGTTTCAGCACGGGTTATGATCTAGTTTTTAAATTTTAAACAAATAACCGTGCGCGTGGTAACCGTAGACGGTAGACCCCAAATTCTGGACACGTGAACTAAAAAATGAAGCAAATTGCAGTTTTTGTTCTCAATCCACAAAAATATTATTCCACGTGAAAAGATTCTAGTGATGAAAACGAAGATACCTTCTTACTAGAAGACTAAAATCTTGGAAAATGGGTCCATTTAAAATTTTGAGGATCCTATTGCTCGCAAGAGAGACCTTTGGTTGATTCTAACATGAAAAGACAAAATCAACTTTGTCTACGAATCAGATACCAGTCACTACTTCGGTGATGTCATCCACTACGTACTTCCGAATCCAAATATCTTACCACAAATTTCACTTCAATTAATGTTATTTATTCGTAATCGACTCTTTTTTTTTCCAATAAAAAACTCTTATTATTTTTTTGGTTTCCTCTTTATAAATGTACTACTCCAATATCTTTGTGATGAGTCCTGTCTAAAAAGAGTACTCATTTCCTTCCTAAAAGATATATTTTTTTCCTTGGTCTATAAAAATAAATTTTATGTTTTTAATTTTATCAAATATTACTCATTAAAAAAATTATTTTGTATTTTCAATGCAGTTTTATAAACTAAATCTCTTTCATTTTATCTCTATCACTTTAACTTATTAATTGAAAGATAAAGCTTTAGTGTATTTATAAAGGATATAATAAAAATTTATGTAGTTTTCTTAATTTATGTGAAACATGTCAAGATAACATTTTTTTTTGTGAAACACATACATTAATTAATAAAATTTTAAATTTCAAAAACTATTAATTATGAATATCAGAATTGTTGAATTACTACTGGTTCATAACTATAGAGAAAATGTTTAGTTTAAGAAAATGGTCTATTTATAGCTAAAAATTAAATATCTTTTTTATAAACAAAAATAGTATAAAATACAATAACATTTTGACCAAAATAAATAACAACCAAAATAATTTGGAGAAAAATAAGTAAACTAAACCAACCTTTCAAAGCAAGCTTTAGAGATACAGTCAAACTTTTGACTTTTTGAGCCACCTCTCGTCTCCTATATAAAACCCTACGCTCACACACGTCCTCTCTAAAAATCTTAAAGCTTCCTTCACAATCTCAAAAGCCATTTTCAAATTTCAAAAGCTCATAGAGAGATGTGTCCTTCCGGTAGAATCGCGATTCCGATAAGCACCACCGCGAATTCAGATTTCCGTCCAGCTTTCGAAATCATCGACACAGATCACGACGGTAAAATCAGCAGCGACGATCTCCGTGCATTCTACGCCGGAATCACTTCCGTTGAAGAAAAAGACGAGACGATGATCGGAACGATGATATCAGTAGCGGACGCGAACAAAGACGGATTCGTTGAGTTCGATGAGTTCGAGAAAGTTCTAGAAACGGCGCCGTTGTTGTGTAGATCTGGTAACGGAGGAGACGATGGATTGATGAAAGATGTGTTTAAGGTGATGGATAAAGACGGAGATGGGAGGTTGAGTTACGGTGATCTGAAGAGTTATATGGATTCGGCTGGTTTAGCTGTTTCCGACGATGAAATTAAAGCTATGATTCGATTAGCCGGTGGTGATTTAAACGACGGCGTTTCGTTCGACGGTTTGCTTAAGATTTTTGGGTGTTGAAAAAAAAGTTTGTTTTAAAATTCGTTTTTTTACACCTCATATTTCCAACTTTTTGTTTTTCTCTCAGTTTTTGTTTGTTTGTTTGCAGAGGTGTATTTGTGTCCACCCAGATTTTGTTTTGTTTTTTGTTGTTATAAAAATGTGAGAAAATTAATGTTGGAACAGTTCATATAATTTGTGAGTTACAACAGAAGCAAAAAGTCTTTGGGAAATATCACAAACTATGCTCAGACGAGTGTATAATTAGGTGAGTAAAATAGGTATTATTTCTACAGTAATAAATCTAAGAAGATTACTCTACTATCCTTCTTTATTTATTTGTTTTTTTTTTTTTTTTAATCTCTCATCTTCCTCTCCCTCTCTCTTCTTCGTCAACCATTTCCGGTGAAATTCCGGCCAAGAGTTCATCACATAAACTTGTCATAACAAAGTTAAAACAAAGTGGGTTTTTGATTCCGTGAAAGGCAAAGCCAAGGTGGAGCGGTTTTCGATTCCGGCGGAGTCTATGGTTTCATTTTCGGTTCAATTGTGGTGTCGTTCAAGTAACGATAGAAAAATGAAAAGTGACTTTGAAAGCTTAGGAACCGGCGAACTGTCAGTGATCATCTTTGGAAAAAATTGATGATTGAGAAAGTTTGGCAAGATTAGAAGAGTAGATCGGGAAATATGGTGAAAGGTGTCTCTGAAATTTGATGATCGGAAAAGTTTGGCAAGGTTTGTATCTCGTTAATATTTTATATAACATGTTTATAATTTTTGTATTGTGCTAAATGTTAATTTATCGACATACAATTTAATTTACCTGTGTTAAATAAATAAACAATCATGCAAATTAATACATAATGATTTGTTAGGTATCTCGTCACCATCCTAATTTTCAATATGTAATACTATTTAATATATTAACAGAATAATATTAATATTATTAGATATATTTAATATCTTAATCCGTTACAAGTATGTGTAGTGCGTTAGCAATATTGTTATCGCTATCATTATATGTGATATGTTTATAATATGTATATCATGTAATTAATTAAGATTTTTTTCAAAGAATATTAATTCACAATTCTAAAATTAATACTTTATATTTAACTTTGTATGATAAGATAACTCGTTTAACACGATAACTATGAATATAACACATATTATATAAACTTATCACGATAATATACCATTCAACATGTAAATAAAATAGTTATCAATACAAATAAAATAGTTATCCACACATATGAGCAGTGTTGTTATGTGGTTGATGAACATTATCCGGTGATGAACAGTATCGTGAATATATTGAAGTAGAAAACTATTTTCTTTAATCAATGGCATTTTTGTTATTAATCAAAAGTATAAGGAGATTTTTGATTTGCTTTTTCTTTCTCTTTCCTAGTTACTTAATTTTTAAGTTATCATGGATAGATTTTTAATTTTCAAGTCTTCTATGCATATCAATTAATATAGCCCAAAGTCTTTTGGGCCCAATGCATAACTTAGAAAATTTAGGTTCTAAATAGTAACCATGTAATACCATTCATAAAAAATTTATCAAAACGTTACTAAAAATTTTATTCTAAGTTTTTTTTTACATTTAACTCGGACAATTATTTCTTACAATTTTGTATTATTCTGAAAAAACTTAGAATAATAGAACTTTGTTTACAAAACTTTTCGGGCGTCTACAATTACTCAACTATCTTCGAAAATGCATCGATCGAAAACATTGCGATACAATGGTTAAAAGCGACATGAATAAAGTTGTATAGTCAAATCAAATGGGATTTTCTTAGTGGGGTTTTGATAAATGATAATACTAGGTTTCCATATAGTTTGGAGTTTGGACTAACTGGATAAAAGAATGTGTTTTTTTTTTATCATCTGGTTTTATTGATAGAAAACATGAAATGAAACTTGAAATACAAACTTAAGCCGGCGGAAAATAGAGATATCCCCGGAGTCAAGTGCCCAAACGAGGGAAGCTAAGCCCGCGGACGAAAGAAAAGTCCCGGAAAACATAAGCGGGAGGAAAACGTAAATTCCCCGGAAACTAAGGTGAAAACGAGAATCACTTAAATTACCAAGCACAAAATGAAAACCCTAAATCAAAAGAGATTGCAACCTAAGTCTGAGAACAATAGCAACAAGATTTTAACCTTAAAAGAGACGCTAGCTCAAAGCAACAAATCAACTTCATCTTCTGGAAATCCTAAGAACGAGATTTATCAATGATGCCCTCAGCAACCCAAAGATAACAACCACTTCCTCCTATCAAGATGAGAGCAGACCTCTCGAAACCAAGAACCAAAGACTTACATAACCCAGCAAGCAAGAGACAAAATGAACCTCAACCACTTCCGGATGCGACGACGATAACGACATAAGCGCCACCAATTTACGCCTAGATAGAAGTCTTCAAAACGCTTTCAGATCCCTACCCGATCTGCAAAGCAGAGACAAGGAGCGAAGCCTAACCAATCGAAAAAAAACCCTTCTCACGAACAAGAACACCATTAGATCGAGCCAACTATCATTCACCGCGAAATCCACCCCGAATCAAAAAATCTGTAAACTTTGAAACTAGCATCAACTTCAGACAAATCAAAGCAACTGGAACAAACCAGAAGGAAACAAAGGCTGAACCAATAAGAGAAAGAGCAAGCGGAAAGAAGAAGGCATGACGGAGACTAACGAGAGACCACCCCCAAACCACAATGACGGAATAAAGACGATGAAAAACACAAAAGCAGACACGAATCTAAGTCGAGGAGAGCAAAGAGACTGGAATTATTAAACGAACCACACCGTGAATCTAACAGATCCGGCATCAACCTCTCTGAAGGAACCTCGAAACAAGAAGATCTGACTACCCTTGACCGCTTCCGCAAAGACCACCCTTTCACAACCCGAATTCACCAGCAACTCTCCAATCGAAGGCCAAAATTCTATGAACCAGACAACAACAAGCTAAATCAAAGAGGGTACCGGCGCCGGCGCTTAAGGAGCCGCCCAACACCGGCCATCGGAAGAGAAACGGTTGTTTTTTCTTTTCTGGTTTTTCGTCTCTCCCTTCTACGGATAAAAGAATGTGTAACAATGGTTTTTTTACTCCTTAATAATTAAGCACTAAAAGGCCAAGTTATCCCTTCATGGAGTTTACTACAAAGGGACTCGTTATCTCTTCATTATTTGCATACAAGTACAGTATAACCTCTACAAATTAATACCTCGATAAATCAATACATTTCTTTCGTCCCAAATTTAATTTTTGAGGTAATTAGTATATCGATAAATTAATAAGTCGATAAATTAATAAAATATCATAGTCTCAACTGTATTAATTTATAGAGGTTTTACTGTATTCTGAAACTTTGCAAGCGAGCACAAAGAAGACAACACACTCCATATTTTAATTTAGGGAAAATCACATTTTTAACCTTTAAAGTGTCACTAGGTAGCATTTTAAACCTCGAAAGAATTCCACAAACACTATAAACCACCAAAATGATTTTACTAACACTTTAAACCTTCAACTTCAAACTAGCTTTCATGTTTGCACCACCATAAAATATGATGGAACACTTAATTTATGTTGGTTTAATATAAATTTAAATAAATTTTATTATTTATTATGATTTTACGATTATTAAGAAAAGTAAAAAAAAAAAAAAGTAGATTCCTCCGATACGGAGAATGCTTCATTTTTGACTAAATTTTGATATTCTTTGATTTTTATTATTCTATTTAAGCTTCTCTTGTACCTCATATTCTACATTATTTGGTTTATATTATAAACTTCTCTTGTGCTTAAGTCTATAGCTTCAGAGGTTTAATTTCGAAATTTCATGGTCGAACGGTGAATAAACAAAGAAGGTGAAGTTTTTTTTTTGTTTTTTTAGATTTTTTTAATTGTAATAAATAAGAAAATTAATTTAAATTCTAGTTTTTTAGATTTTTATTAATTATAATAAATAATAAAATTAATTTAAATTTAAATTTAATTAAATAAATGTATACTAAACAAATAGATATTAAATTTTCCATCATTTTATATGGTGGGAAATTAGATTAAAAACTAGTTTGGAGGTTTAAAGTGTTAGTAAAAGTATCTTGGTGGTTTATAGTGTTAGTGAAATTCTTTCGAGGTTTAAAGTGTTACTCATTAACACTTCGAGGGTTAAAAACGTGTTTTCCCCTTTTAATTTATATAAGGATGCAAAAAGAAATAAAAGAAAGAGGATTCTGGTGGATAGTTGGGCTTAGCCCATACAATATTACGTTCGATGGTTAACTCGGTTTAGTAGTTATGTGAACAGTTATAGATTGAAATCAAATTGGTTTGGTTCAGAATTAGGTTTTGTTGGAACGATATCGGTTTGCTGTGATACATAGTCGAACTTGGTTTTAGGTGGATGATGTGGTTTCGATATTTCCTTATTTTGATGAGATTCAATATTACCTTATTTATATGAGATTCAATATTTACTTATTTATATGAGATTCGATATTTCCTTTTTTTAATGGACAAAGAGATTCGATATTTCTTTATTTATATAATGGACAATGGCCTTCACTTGTCAATTACATCTTTCTCCACACACACAAAAAACCCTCTCTGTGGTCAAAATTGAGAAAATCAGAATGGTGAAAAAAGGAGGGACGAAGAGGAAGATTGCGATTGAGATGATACAGAAGAGTGATTACCTTAGGGTTACTTGCACCAAACGCCGTGAAGGTCTCTTTAGCAAAGCCTCTCAGCTTTGTCTTCTCTCCGATGCACAAATCGCTATCTTAGCGACTCCTCCTTCTTCTGAATCCAACGTCTCCTTCTACTCCTTCGGTCACTCCTCCGTTGATACCGTTGTCTCTTCTTTTCTCTCCGGACAACGTCCTGTTCCTGTTCAGGAGGATACCAAAGAGACGAGGGAGGACGTTGGTATCTGCTTGTCTCGTAAAAATCTAGGGTTAGGGTTTTGGTGGAACAACGAGAGCCTTAACAAATCGGAGAATCCTCAAGAGATTAGTGACGCTATCGATTCCATGTGGACGTTGTTGAGTAATCTCAAGGAATTGAGTGCGGAGGAGGCTTTGGTTAACGATCACAAGGACTTGAAGAAGAATGAGAAGAGCCATGTTGTTTTACAACACGGAACTCAAGATCAAACCCTAAATCTTAAGTCCAACAGTTCTGCAATTTGTTACGTCCCTGATGAATTACCTGCAAATTTCAACGAGATTGTTGGAATCTTACCAAATTCTTTGATTATGCTAGAAAATAAAAAATCACAAATTGAAGAAAGGTTTGAGAAGGAATCACAAGTTTGTGTTAGTGGAATTGAAAATGAAGCCACGAATTCATGAGCAACAAACAAAGAAGAAGATTTAGCAAATCATGTGAGAAGCACGTGACCTGGATTAATTGAATAAGAAAATTTACAATTACGCTTTGGTTAAATTAGTCTTCCCTTTTACCGTTCAAGAGATTTTCCTAAAAGAATTATTTTTTATTTTTTATTTTTATTTTTATTTTTTTCCCTTAAAAGAATTATGTTAAGCTTTTGCTATTAATTATTTTTCCATTCTAAAACTGATAAAGACATTCTATTATTTTAATAAAACACTTCTTTGTGTCGTATTTACTATTTTGTCAATTAATTTTACTATTTTTAATTCATTCTATTTAATTGTTTTTGTTTTGTATTTAACCTAAATTAAATGAATGTTTTGAATAGACCTAATGTAATGCTTGATTGCTTGTTTATCTTACTTAAGGGATATTCTATGAGAAGAGAAACGCTCCAAGCTAATTAAATCATATAGAAAGTGTTTTTCTTATCATAAAGTATCCCTTAAGTAAGATAAACAAGCAATGAAGAATTACTCTCCACAATTCTGACAGTTGCTAAGTCTGTTGGAGGATCTAGGATCTAGGCTTCTCTAACGCCCTACTCTCCACAATTCTGACAGTTGTTTCGAAAAGTTTAGGGCCAAGCATTTGGGGGAGTGAGTTTGTAGCTATTTCTTGTGGGGTAACTGCTGTTGCAACCTACAAAAACATCAAATGGGGTGACTATTGTTCCTCTTGTCTTGCTCATATGATGAGGATGGTGTGCCAAGTCACATACATTGAAACGCCTCCAATCTGTGAGGAGACAAATATAAAGGATATTAATTTCAGGCCCGGCTCAAAAAAAATTTGGTCCTTGTGCCAAAGTAAAAAAGTTAATCCAATTTTTTCTTCTATACTTCAGAAATTTGAAAATTTTAGACCTTCATTTATATAAATCTAAAGAAATTAGAGCCCTAAAATGCTAAAAAAATTAACGTAAAATGGTGGGATCCTGTGCTTTGGCACTGTTGGCACACCCTTAAAGTTGGGCCTGTTAATTTATATGTATTATTATCGTCAAATATAATTTAGGTAGAATATGATTATTTAAGTTTGACATGGAACACAATGTAATAAAAAATTGTGATATCTTTCATTTGTTTTTTGGAAAGCTACAATGGTGATGAATTTGAAGAACGAAACTGATTAGTTATGTCATAGTAAGTTCCTATGACTGTAGAAACAATATTATGAGCAAATGGGTGGGCTTAGTAAGTTCCGTAACTCATTTGATTTTGGCCAACTTAGGAGCGATGGTTTATTCGGGTTAGTAATTATGTTAACCGTTAAAAATAGAATTGGTTTGGCTCATAATTAGGTTTAATGGAAACGGTATCGGTTTAAAGTGAACCCTGGTCGAAATTGGTTTAGGAGGATGGGGTTTCCATATTTCCTTATTTATATGAGAAATAGTGGCTTTCACTTGTCACCCCTCTTTCTCCACACGCATTATAAAACACTCTCTATCTCTCTGAAGTCTCGCTGTGGTGAAAATTGAGAAAATCAGAATGGTGAAAAAAGGAGGGACGAAGAGGAAGATTGCCATTGAGATGATACAGAAGAGAGATTCTCTTAGGGTTACTTGCACCAAACGCCGTGAAGGTCTCTTTAGCAAAGCCTCTCAGCTTTGTCTTCTCTCCGGTGCACAAATCGCTATCTTGGCGACTCCTCCTTCTTCCGAATCCAACGTCTCCTTCTACTCTTTCGGTCACTCCTCCGTTGATGGCGTTGTCTCTTCTTTTCTCTCCGGACAACGTCCTGTTTCGGCTCCTGTTCCTGAGGATAACAAAGAGATGAGGGAGGACGTTGGTGTCTGCCTGACTCGTAAGAATCTAGGGTTAGGGTTTTGGTGGAATAACGAGAGCCTTGCCAGATCGGAGAATCCTCAAGAGCTTAGTGACGCTATCGATTCCATGTGGACGTTGTTGAGTAGTCTCAAGGAATTGCGTGCCGAGGAAGCTTTCGTCAATGATCACGAGGACTTGAAGAAGAACGAGAAGAGCGATGTTGTTTTACATCACGCAACTGAAGATGATCAACCCCTAAATCTTCAGTCCACTTCTGCAATTGGTTGCATCCCTGATGATTTACCACAAAAGTTCAACGAGATCACTCAAGAGCCAGATCAAACCCTAGATATTCAGTCTAGTAGTTCTGAAATTTGTTGCGTCCCTGATGAATCACCTGCAACTTTCAACGAGATCACAGAAGAACAAGATCAGATTCTCTCGATTTGTGAAAGTTTTTGTGTTACGGACAACAACAACAACACCAACAATGCTTTACCTGAAGTAAACTTGGATTATGATCAAGACATGGATATTGATCAACTCATTGATTTCGATACGCCTTTTGAAAGCTCCCTCGATGATTGGTTTTCGGAAAACACTCATCAGGAGACTACTACTGCAAGTCTTTTGACCAATTCTGAAGCTGATGATGATCATGTCTCGGTGGATCCAAATCTGTTTTCTGATTTTGAGGGCCTTGAAGATGGAGATTTTTTTTTCCAGAGATGTTTAGATGATGATGATCGACGATTCTCTGTGTTTTTCCACGACTTTGCAAACACTATTGCAGCACTTTGAAGATAATCTCTCTGCATTTTTCAAATTAACTTCTAATTACTTCTTTATATGTATGTATTTTTTATGTATGTGTTGATTCGGTTAAATTTGGTTAGAGATATGTCTTCTAAATGTAATGAATGAAGGGTCTGGTTTGATCTCGATCAGTTTCCATATATGCGGGAAATTGATCGAACTCAAACTGGTTCTGCTTCAGTTTGGTTTATTGATAAATATTTGTGTTCTGTTTCTATGCTTTGTATTTGTAGTTTCATGTCCAGAGTCATGTTTATTGATATAAATCTACTCAGATAAGAAAAGGAAAATATCTTTAATCAACTTAGGGAAACTCTTTACTAAATTAAATTTGGTAGCTAACCACAATGATAAATCATATTACAACAGAAGCATGACCAAAAAAACATTTTGTGGCTGAAAAATCAGGCTTATGTTGTACTTAGTATCTCTTATGCCCTTGGCATAGTGACATGTGACTTTTCTTGCAAGGACTAAATTTTTTTTAATTGATTACTTGAAGGGTCCAGCAAAAAAAAAATTTAGTTGATTTCTTAGGCCTTGAATTCATGAAAATTAGTAGAACTAGAGCGCTCATAATCTTCGATTTGTGAAAAAAATCCCTAACATGGACCAGCTCCAAATAATCAAGGACATATAATATAAATAACATTTTTGGTTAAACAAAAGGAAACTCAATAACAAAGAGAGGACACTGTAGCAAAATTCAACGAACCGACGGGCGTCCCGGACATAGCCTTCAACCCGCAAAGGTTTGCTTTGTTGCTGGACTTGCAATGTCAATGTCGAAGTTCTATACTTCTATCACACGTTAAAGTTGCTCAATAAAATTACGGGCCTATTGAAAATCAATGTGTTAAGGTTGGTATGACTCTTTCCTCAAGAAACGCTTATATCGCCTTCCAATAAATCGCTACACAAGTTGTCGTGTATTGTGTATTGACAGAATCCATTGAAAGGGAGCTTGAGAATGTGCCAGTGTTTTAGCCTAAACCTGAACGAGAGCCGTAACCACATTTTTTAAAATTAATCGGCAAAGATTATATGTAGGGTCTAGCTAGTCATCTAATTTTATATTCATACATTCTCTATTCACATTTTTTCCTTTATATTTTGTTATGTTTTGCACAATTTGTTTTTGTTACGTTGTATATTTCATTATTTTGTTTTCTTGTTTACATTTTAGGGTCTCTTTAATTATATAGTATTTTTTATAAAAAAATAATAATATAAAGTGTTATATATATATATATATGATTTTAACTTATCAACAAAAAAATATAGATATATATGATTGAAATTTGAAACCATGTGGTGTGTGAGTTTTGTGAAATTATGTTTTGTGATTACTAACTATAATACTGATTATATTTCCCGTTAGAAGGAATAAGAAACTTTTGGTGACCTAAACTGCTCTTTTGATTGGATAGGAATTAATTCACACAATACAAGTAAATATAACAACATCATTACTCAGAAAATTAAACTACTTAGCAACCACACATGACTAAAATTAACAACGTCAAAAGACTAAGAAAGCTCTAGCAACCATAGACTCAAAAACCATATAGAAGTTAAAGCATAACTATACTTGATTCATATATATTCTTCTTCTTCAAATGGTACGAGGAGTGATTTCCTATTGTTGAATATTTTGGGGTAGACGTTTAAAGTGAAGTGAGAACACTTTTTTCTAGGCTCCTCTCTTTGTAACAGTCAAACGTTTTCATATTTTATGATATTAACAAGTTTAGCAAAAAAAAAGAGAACACTTTTTTCTTGTTTCTAACTAGTGTATTTGGAATTGAAAGCAATCTTTAAGCTAAAATCCCTGTTTATTTAGGAATCAAGCACACACAAACGAATTTATTGATCTTACATAGTTAGACCATACGCAGTGGCACACCTTTGCTAAGGGTGTGACTATTTTAAAAATTGAAAATAATAGATTTGGAGGTGTTGAGACAAAATATGGATGTAAACTAACATCCGGGTGTGACTATTTTAAAAATGGAAAATAATAAATCTATTTCTTTCTCTCTCCTCTCTCTTTCTCCACTAACCAAATCTCTCTCTCTCTCTTAAAAAAATTATAATAAATATATTGTTAACACACACCCACCCACATGCACCATTGTGGGTGCTAAAGCAAAATAATCCTCCAAAATTCAACGGCTAACCCCTGGAAATTAGGTTTAAGTTGGATATCATTCAAAAAAGTTTTGCATTGTCTAGTATTCCACCAAATTAGTCCCTTTTTTTAATCAAAATATAAATTGTGTCAAACCAATGGTACAATTTCATCATTAAAAGAAAACATTAAACGACGACGTTTATCATAATGGGCTACTTCATCATAAGCAAGGCCTTAAGCCCAATTTAAAACAGCGTCGTTTGACTGTTCTTGATACGACGTCGTATTCCCGACTCTTGGATTGGTCCGTCTCTCGCTGGTTTCACTCTCTCGTCCCAAAGTCGACAGATTCGAAAACAATCGAGAAACCAAGTCGAAGCTTTTAAAACCCTAAATCCCCAAATCGGAATCCGATTCGAAGATGTCTTCGTCTTCTCCGAGTGGAAGCGGTAGCGATTTGACTGAGAGAAGAGGAATTCCTGCGGCCAAATTCATTCAAGATGTGGAGACTTATCTCTCTCAGTCTGGTCTCGATCCTAACTCTGCTCTTGCCTTCCATCAAGAAAGGTTTCTCCTTTTTCATATCTCTCTCACTCTCTACTCTCATTTTCACTCACATTTATCTGGGTTTGTTCTACTTAAGCTCAAATCCCAGATCTCCTGCGGATTTATAATCAATTGAATACAAAATCATTACTTGTGATTGATTCCTTCATGCTTATTATATTAGTGATTTCTTTTCTATGGTTTTAGGCTTCAGCAATATAAAGTTGTTGAGATGAAGCTTCTTGCTCAGCAAAGAGATCTTCAGGTTCTCTTGTCTTATTATTTGTATCTAGTTTTATGTATAATGGTTTAAGTTATCTTCACTTGATGATATCTTACTAGTGTTGTTAAATGCGTAGGCTAAAATCCCAGATATTGAGAAGTGTTTAGAGGTTGTTGCTACTTTGGAAGCAAGGAAGGGTACTGGTGAGGTTCGTCGATGTTTATTTTCATTTTTTAGTTTTGAAAAACAATCTTTGTGTAATTATACTTTGTTAACCTTTCTTCACTGGTTTTTGTGTAAATGTTGTTCTGTTTTTTGTGTTTAGTTTTGATGTTGTGATCAGTGTCTTGCTACTGTTTTTGAGATGGATGGTGACCAAATATGTAGAAACATTGTTATTTGAACTTTTGAATCGAGAATCCAGAATTGTAATTCCGTAATGTTGAACTTTGTTGTGCTTTGATTTCTTACCATTGTTTGAATGCCAACTTTGTGTCCATGTGAAGATATTTTCTTCTCTTTACGTGAGTCAGGCTTACTTACGAAACTTTTGTAGAATCTGATAAGCCTGCTTGCATTTGAAAGTCTGTTTTTGAAGATCGAGGTTGATTGGTTGGAAAGACAGTGTCTAAATCACTAATCAGCTTTCTTATTCCTATGGCCCTGAAATTAGTATCTTAAGTGGTGTTTGATGGTGACAGCAGAACATGTTGAGTTCTTGCTTCACTGGAAGAATCAGTGAATCACTGACACAGAGATTGTAGTGGGCATGGTGTTTCATCTTTTTTAAATGAAAGTTGCTTTGATGTTTAGACTTACAGTTGATTCTTGTGTTCTTCATCATTATTTTCTCACATGGAATTCTTCTTACAATGCAGGCGCTCTTAGCCGATTTTGAGGTGTCTGAAGGAATATATTCAAGGGCCTGCATTGAAGACACAGACTCAGTGTGTTTATGGTTGGGAGCAAATGTCATGCTGGAATATTCCTGTGAAGAGGTCCATTACTCTGAAAACATATTCTCTTCGATATTTATAATCTCTGGGACCATAGAATAAGTTCTTATAATCTTTGTTTTTCCAACAGGCTTCAGCTCTTCTGAAAAACAATCTGGAAAATGCTAAAGCCAGCCTGGAGGTTCTCGTAGCTGATTTACAGTTCTTAAGGGATCAAGTCACAGTTACTCAGGTACAGAGATACTTGTAAATTTATCTAATCTCAGATGAGTTGGCACCTAATTCCCGAGAATTCATATAGAAGTAGGGGCCTGATCTTACTTAAACATAACTGTAAATCATCAAACAACCCAAAACTGCATTACAGGCAACCCATATTGTAGATACAGCGACTGAGTAAAGAGTAGTTTATCGTTCTTGAGTAGGATTGTTTATGATGGACAGGTAACTATTGCGCGTGTTTATAACTGGGATGTTCATCAAAGGAGGGTTAAACAAGCTACCCCTACTGCTATTGCTGCTGCAGATTCATGAACTACAGATCCAAATTATAATCGTGTGGGCTTAAACGAGGTAATATGATTATTGGGACACCTTTTGCCCTAATCGGGTTGTTTGTAACTCTTAATCTTTGCTATCTTGATGAAATTTTGTTTCTGTGAACAACCTAAGAATAGAACATTAGCATTGTTATCATTGTTTGCCTTCCGTTTCTCGCTACATATCTGTCGAGTTTTGAGATCAGCTTGTGTTTCCCGCTATTGAGGTTTTACTTTTGTAAGGATGTTATAGATATATCAAATTATTTGCAGAATCTGGTAGTCTTGATCAGTGTTCCAACTTCTAAGTGTTGATAAGATATGTTTCTAGAAGTAAAAGGATGAGAAATGAATAAAAGTCAAGTTGTGTCATTTTCTCGGAAATTTTTAGGTTCAATATTGGTGATGGCTTATGCTTTTGGTTAGCAAAAAGTGGAAACGATAAACAAAACGTGATCAAACCGAACCTTTTTATTTGCTTTTCTCATTAGTGCATATCCATTTGAAGAATAAGATTCATTTTCTGAATATAACATATTTTCTTGTCACTGATGCGACATTTTTACAGTAAATATTTTGTGAGGATTTAACCAACCATTATAAAATCACAGTAAAACTCTTATTTGATGATTTGGTCAGAAATTATGATTTTTGTTCATGTACTAAAAAGGATAATGATCATTGCCATATTCAAATAATTTGGATATAGTTTTTTTAGGCATCAATTTGGGTACCATGTTCTGTATAATCCCTTTAACAAGTTGAGAGTATATTATGATCATTTTGAGATTTCCGTCGTATCCAAATAAAGAATATTATTAAGAGAGAGCAAACAAAAAAAAATGTAAATGGAGAAGAGTTTTTTTGTTGATGGTTAGGGCTTGAGTTGACCCATAGAA